ATGATGTAAACATCACTATTTTTTTATCTATCCTTTTCGTTATGTTTACCTATATTCTTTTTCAATTTATACTTGTCTAAAGTACTCTATCAAATTGTCCAAAAAAAAAAATGTGTAAACGCCTGATGTAACAAAGATTTAGATGGGAACCAAAGAATATAAGTGGAAAACAGAATCAATGTAATAAAGTAAAAAAGGGATTAAAAAGACCATAAAAAGTGTTGGGCCTAAAGTGACAAACACAACAATGCAAAAATAGTATATATTGCAATAAAATCACAGTAATAGAAAAAATCAATAATCCAAAATACAAGAAAAATAAAACACACCAAGATTTATATGCAAAACCATCTAGTGTAAAGGAAAAAATCACAAACCACAAAAAAAAACTCAATTATCAAATAATAGATGTACAAAGTTCTCTTCTAACTAAAACTAGAGATAATCAACAATTAGAGAGACAATTAGAGAAATATCACCAAATAGGTGACTCAACAAATACACCATAGATTTTTTCCTAAAGAGTTTCAAACCCGATCTTTACTGTTCAAAATATAGAATACTGAATTATAAACCTGCTGATAAAACTTCAGCTTAATCGGATCAAAAATCGATATCCGTTCAACCAACTCTCCCTTCTTATTTTTTCTCTATATTTTTCTAGCTTTTTTCTTTTTTAGTTTGCAGCGCACTCCAATTTTTCACACAAAAAATGCAGCCCTTTTTTTTTTATTACATACAACTCTCTTGAGGTAGCCTAAAATACAAGGCATATGGCCTCTGAATGGTCAAATAACACATGGAATGGGGCTAGAACCCACTTCCTCATAATCTCCCATTTCAGCCCTATTATTAGGAGATTCATCACCATAGCAGTCTCATTTGGACCTTACCTTGACCAAGAACCCATTATAGCTAAGTTACTATAGAGCTCAAGCTTTTTCTTGATAAGTGTCTTAGTTAACATATCTGTTGCATTCCTATCAGTATAAATTTTTTTCAACTGCATCTATTATTCCTCAATCAATATATCATCAATATATAGTAACAGAATAATGAAGTTACTATTAGAAAAATTTCTGACATATACACAAAGATTCGTTGTTGTTCATTTATAGCTGTGGCTCATCATAAAAGAATTAAATTTTTTATACCACTATCACAAAGCTTGGTTCAAGCCATACAAGCTTTTTTTTTTAGTTTGCAAACTAAGTGTTCTTTTCTTTTCACTTTAAAACCCTTAGGCTAATCCATCAAGTTTTTCTACAAGTCATCATGCAAAAATGTAGTCTTAACATCAAGTTGCTCAAGCTCAAGATTCAAACTAACTGTTAATCCTAGTACCACTAGAATGAAACTCATCTTTATAACTGAAAAGAATATCTTATCAAAATCGATGCCAGATTTATGAAAGAAACTTTTCACCATCAATCGAGCTTTATATCTCACTAATTTGTCACCATCTTTTTTTAAATTGAACACCTATTTATTTTTCAACGACCTTTTTCTTTTCGAAAGTTTAACAAGATCATATGTATCATTTTTTCATAATGACTCAACCTCTTTTTTTTTATTACTTTTAACTAATGCTCTTTATCCGAAATAGTATGTACATCTTAAAAGCTCTTTAGCTCCTCTCACTAGTAACTAAAATAAAATATGAACTTAGATATATGATGGATGGCCTATGCTCTCGAGTAAATCTCTTGGGTTGAGACTCTATACTACCTAATTCCAAAGGTAGCTTTCTCTGTTCAACATTTTCGGGTAAAGAAGATTACTCCCCTACTTAAAACTAATTGCATCTGACTCATCACTAACTGTGGTTAGCTCATTTGTATCCTCAAGTCTTGTCTCTTGTTCATTTTCACCATCTATGGCTCTTTCTTATGAAACCCTTGTCGGTGTTAAAACATCATACTTAATAGTAACCCATGTAGTCTTCTCATTTTTTAAAGTTTTTTTATGGTTTTTTTATGAAAAATCACATCTCTACTTCTGATTGTTTTTTCTTTATTGGATCTTAGACCCTATAGCCAAAATTTTCATCATCATATCCTATAAACATACACTGTGTGACTTTATTGTCAAGTTTTGACCTTTACTTTTTTGGCACATGCATGAATGCTTTACACTTGAAAACTTTCAAATGAGAGTATGAAACATCTTTCCCTGTCTATACTCTTTCTGAAATATCAAAGCCCAAAGAAACTGATGGTGATCTATTAAGCAAATAACAAGCTGTGTTGACTGCTTCACCTTAGAATGGCTTTGGTAATTTTGTTGTCTTCAACATACATCTAATTTTTTTCATAATGGTGCGGTTCATCCTTTCAGCTACACCATTATGGTGCGACGTTCTAGGTTCTGTTATCTCATACATGATCTCATACTTTGAACAATATTCTTTAAAGTTTTTGGATGTGTATTCTCCATCATTATTAGTACAAATACACTTCAAGGGTAACCCTATCATCCTTTCCATCATGATATAAAATTTTTGAAAATACTGTAGTACTTAGCTTTTATTTTTCAGCATATACACCCAAGTATTGCATAAAGCATCATTAATTAAAGTAACAAAATATCGACTGCCACCTATTGACCTAACTTCAATGGGACTACATATGTCAAAGTGAATCAATTCCAATATGTTTTTTTTTTCTAAGAATGCTTGTAAAATAAAACTCTATAATGCTTGCCAAACAAACAAAATTCACAAGAATCGAGAGACATACCTTTGGTCAAGGTAATGAAAGACTATCTTGCCAAAACTTGTAACCCCTTCTTACTCATGTGTGTTAGTCTCTTGTGCCATAAATTTGCAAAAGCATCATCTTTAACAGCATTTATCTGGTTGCTGTTCAATTACATCCATGTCTTGTACATTGTGGAGCATAGTTTTGTTTTTGCAACTACCATAAATCCTTTTGAGAAGCTTCCACTACCAATTCTTTTGTTGAATCTCATATCCCTTTTATCAAGGACATTAATAGCAAGCAAATTCATTCTCATATTCAGAATGTGTCTAACATCTTTCAAAGTTAACATGTAGCCTGTATTAGTTTGTACAACAATATCACCAATACCAACAATCTACGATACATTATTATTTTCCATCTTGATGTAACCAAAGTGTTCTACTTTGTAAGTTGTAAACAACTTTATTTTAAGAACACAATAATATACCGCTCCTATGTCAACTATCCACTTAATACCAGGATCATCAATATGATTACAATTACCATATGTACAAATCAAAGTAACTGAATTACTATTTGAATTCATTATTGCAACATTGTCATCATCTAAAACTCTTGTCTTTCTCCTTTTTTCACTCTTGCTTTAAGATTTTACAATATCATTTTATATGACCTGCTTTACCACAATGAAGCACTTTACTTTATCTCTGGACTTGGATTTATATTTAGACTTTTTACGGCCTTTTGAGTTCTGACCTTTGTCAATGTTTTTACCCCTATTATCTGCGATAAGAGTTTGATTCCCAAGGTCTAAATCTTTTCGTCTTGCTTTTTCATTAGTATACTGTCATTTGCCATCTCCAATATCATCTTGTAATCAAGAACTGAATTAAGAACAGTCATAACTGGAGTATTCTAGCTATTTGGCAATAACAATGCCTTCATTTCATAATCTATTTTAAGCTCCATAATAGTCATATGATTAAATATATCTTAAAAATCACTCAAGTGCTTTGTAATTGATTGTCCATCCATGTATGATAAAGTTGCAAGCTTTTTAACAAACATAACTTTATTCATGCCTGTTTTTCTCTCATACAATGTTGCCAATTTTTTTCAAACAGTGTGACCATCTATCTCTTACACTACATGATGGAACATATTGATATTAATCCATTTTCTAATTGTAGCCAGCGTTTTTGTACCTAACTTCTTTCAATTTTCATCTTTTGTACCTATTGGTTTAGTCGAATCACCTAATATCGGCTCATATAAATCTTTGCAGTATAAATGATCTTTCATCATTAGTTTCCAAATTGAATAATTTGATATTGTCAATTTTATCATGGAACCTATATACCATTCATGATCTCAAATAGAATTTACTTCTATCTTGGGTTGCTTCTATATCAATGTCTCAAAATAACTCTTGCTCTGATATCACTTGTTGGGCTAAAAGTGACAAACACAACAACACATAAGCAATATATCGCAATAAACTTACAATAATAGACAACAATCAATAATCGAAAATGTAGAAAAAATAAAGCACATTAAGATTTACGTGAAAAATCTTCTAGTGTAGAGAAAAAAGACTACGGACAAGCAAAAAAAATCTTTACTATCAAATAATGGATATATAAAGTTTTCCTCTAACTAAAACTAGAGCTAATCAACAACTAAAAAATAATTGAAGAAATCTCATCAATAAATAAATATACCATAGATTTGTTCCTAGAGAGTCTCAAACCCAATCTCCATCGTTTAGAATGTAGAATACTTAATGATGAACCTGGTAACAAAATTTTAGCTCAATCGAACCACAAATCGACTCTGTTCAACCAACTTTTTCTTTTTTTTTTTTTTACTTTTTCAGCTTTTTTTCTTTTTTCTTTTTCGGTTTGTAGTGCACTCCAACTTTTCATGCCAAAAACACAGTCTTTTTTTCTTTTATTACATAGGACTCTCTTAGAGCAACCTAAAACACAAGGCCCATAGCCTTTGAATGATCAAATAACACATGGAATAAAGTTGGATCTCACATTCCTAACAAAAAAATCATACAAGATCATAGCTTGAGGATAAAGAATATCATAAAGTTAGACAAGTCATTAATTTTTTCTTTTTTTTTTTTTTATTCTCTCCTAACGAATCAATTATTCTACACATTGTAGATGTAAATTGGGTTTCAATGGAATCAAAATCCGAAGTCAATGTCCTAATCGGTGAAGCTGGATGAAAATTTTCAAAATTATACTATTTTATGTTATTTTCTTTCTCAACTAATCAAAGCGCTAACCAAGACAACATGGAAACAATTTTAAATTGAAAAGACAAGACTTCACAGTTCTAGTGTAGCTACAAGCCTTAAAGACGATACATATATATATATATATATATAGATATATGTATGTATGCATGTATGTATTATATATATCATTATATATCCGACAAAAGCAAATCAATATTGGAGTAGAAATATTTAAGGATAAAAGTGAAAACAAGCTATCTGGTATTAATTAATTAATTTGTCTAAAATCCAGCTTCAACCGGAAGAGGTGGAATGCTCTGCTCATGCCTGAAGAAGTTATCAGGGTCAACTTTGGTTTTCACCTTCACCAATCTGTTGAAGTTATCCTTGAAGTATCTGACTCCCCAACCGCTGGCCTCGATGAAACTTGTGTTGATATTCTTGTTCAAGCCCAAATCAAGGTCCCTGTAATTCACGTATGCGGCTCTTGGAAACATTGAAACGTAAGGGGCCATGTAACTGTATAGCCTTCGAATCCAATCGATATGCTTCGTTGCATTGTTATCCCCATCTTGCCATAGAGTTAAGTACTGGATTTTGAATTTGGTACCTTTTCGGTGAGGAAAAGGAATTTCGGATTCAGAAATCTTGCTCATCATTCCACCATAAGGATTCCAAATCATCAGTGGACTGTCTTCCTGAAGTAGTCTTTCCCACAGCCCCTCCAGCGCTGTTTCTGGTATAGCTTCTTTCACAAAGTCTGATTTGGCTTTAAAATAGTTCTTGAAAGAAGACTTACCCTGAAGTAGAATCTCAGGAGGTGTGTTACTCGGGTACCCTGCAATGTAAAGCACGGACTTGATCCAGCTAGTTTCAGTACAGTCTTTTCGTGTCAAACCCAATTCAGGGAAGCTTTGTTCCATTACTTGGAGGAGCCTTTCAGCATCACCAAGAAACAGAGCATTGTAGGATGTTGTCACTGTTTTCTCAACCTTTTTTCCAGCGTTTGCCACTTGAATGATGACTCTAATGAAAAGATCCTCATCAATCTTGTCTGCAACCTTTTGCCATCTATAAAGGGTCTTTGTAGCATCCTGTTCTAGAGACTTGGTGACAGTGAAAACTGTCACAGTAACTGGGACTGGAACCAGCTTTATCTTCCATTGAAGGATAATGCCAAAGCTTGCACCTCCACCTCCTCTAATTGCCCAGAAAAGATCTTCTCCCATGGCTTCTCGGTCAAGAACTCTTCCATTAACATCGACAATTCGAGCATCAATGACATTATCAGCACCAAGGCCATATTTTCTCATCATGGAACCATATGCACCTCCTGTGATATGCCCACCAATGCCTAGGCTAGTGCAAAGACCTGCAGGGAAGCCATGAGTCTTGCTTTTTTCAGCAATTCTATAATAAACTTCACCAATAGTGGCACCAGCTTCAATCCAAGCACTGTTGTCCTCGATGTCAACTTTGATTGAACGCAGCCTGGAAAGGTCAACAATAATGAAAGGTGATTCAATTCCGGATACATAGGAGAGTCCTTCGTAGTCATGGCCTCCACTGCGGACTCTGAGGTGAATTCCAAGCTCCTTGGAACAAATGACAGCAGCTTGCACATGGGATTCATACAATGGTGTGATGATAAAGTGAGGCTTCGGCATTGAAGGTACCAAGTACCTGAGGTTTTGTGCTGTGGATTGCAGGACAGAAGAAAATGAAGAATTGTTTGGGGTAAAGAAAGCGGTGGAGAGGGGAATGGGAATCTCGGAATTGGCATTAAAGCATTGGATAAATTTTTCTTCAAACAAACTTGAAGTTGGCCTTTTAGACCTGGAGATGGAAGCTGTTGCTGTTTTTGAAGATGACAGCAAGACTAAAAGTAATGAAAAAATGGAAATTATGCGCGAAAATGCCATTGTTTTAATTTCTTGTTCTGTTCCTAATTTGCTTTGCTTCTGCTCAAGAAGGTGAGCCTTAGATGAACTCTTATAGATGAGGAATCGTCAGTTTTAATCGATCTAGAAGCGTAAATGAGCTAATGCTAACGTCGTAATCAGTTTTTGGTTAAAGAAGTGAACAATGGCTGGCACCATTAATTTTTAGTGCAAAGTTATTGCCAATTACTTATCTAACTTCTGTTTAAGTGCACGCTGTGTGGATTGTAATGTAGCAAATTTCACAAATTTTGAACCCAGAACATATCTCAATTATTTTATATAATTATTTTTAAAAAATAATATCAATTTAAAATTTAAATCTTAATATTTACATTTTTTTTCTTACTCAGATTATGGCTTCTTATATAAAAAAAAGTTCAAAACATTTTGAAAATGCTAAAAAATCATAAAATAAGAGATATCTTGTCCAAACCGAAGTATGGCCTACGCCAAATCCATGCGTAAAGGCTCAAATAACAAAAATTTGCATCCTAAGAAACTGCTATTTTTATTTGTCCAATCTCCTTTGAGCTAGATTTATAGGTATATACGTTATCTGTTTATTACTGTCATTCTAAATCTACTTGACTTAGGCCATAGGTGATAATCGAAATGGACTCATTGCGTGCTTAAATTAGACCATTTAATTTCCAAAATTTTAATTAAATAACGATAAAATAAATTTCATATCAATTAAACTGAAGTAATCTTAAACATATAAATATAACAAGTCATTTCCTCCACTATCTATTTATTTTAAGTTTGGATGATCTGCCTTCAAATTTAATATATTCCATATTCAAATCCTTTTCATCAGCTTAATAGTAGCAGCCGCATATATTTTTTCAAAATTTAGGAACAGTGAGTTCCATGTTAAGAATATTTAATTGCTGAATATGAGAGGTGACAGCCTTGAAGTCCCCTGCCCCCATGCCATGATCTCAGTCTCAGGTATTTATTTCCAACCCTAAATCATTATTAAAATGCAAAACGTGGAGAAAAGAATATTACTGGTTGTTGTTCAAACATGAAAGAGTTAAAGTGGAAATTTGTTGATAATGAGTGCATTTTGGTTCTTAACTATAAGCCAAAAAAAAAAAAAAAAAAAGAAAAAAAGAAAGAAAAGTAAAGATGATGATGTTGACTTTGAGCCCCATTCATCATTGAATTTGTAAAAATAATTTTTTAATAATTTAATAAATTAAATCAATGACAATCTTATATACATACATATATTATGTATTATATATAATATTCTGAATAGATGGGAAAGATGGCCTTTATGTTTAAAATGCAATGAACCATGAAAGAAGCAAAGGGAACGGATTAAGGATTTCAATTGGCAATGTGGCATTCATTTGTAAATTCTAGTAAGAAAAGGAAAATCATATTAAACAAAAAGAAATTAATAAGACAGTCATTAAAAAATCACACTGCTTTTCTACTTCCTTATAAAATTACTATGTCATCCTTCACATGCTTAATTAATGACATTTAATTACTAATATTCAATCATAAACAATTCTCTTATGAATTTTGAAATCTTGTTATGAATTTTTTAACTTTTTTTGTATATTTTTTAAATTTTAATAACGAAAATTTGAATTTATTTGTGAATGTTTGAATTTCTTTTGTAAATCTTTGAATTTATTTATGAATTTTTAATTTTATTTGTGAATTTTAGCAAATGCACTGTTACAAGAACAATGACATTGGAACTCTATTTTTTAATTTTAATCCATCTTTTAACTTTCAATCTTTATATATTTTAATTATTTAAAAAAATATTATTCTCAAATTCATAATTTTTAAAAAAATTATCATGTATGACATTTGAGCAAATGTTTAATGACTAATATAATATAATTTGCAAGGATAAAGTACTAGTGAAACGGACATGATATTATCAAGAACAGAAAGATGATATTTCAGCATCACCTACCCTTATGGCCTTTGCATATTTTTTTTAATAAAGATTATAAAAAATCTAATGACTAAAATTAAAAATTTAATATTTTATAAACAGATTACATTCAATCAACCTATTCCTCTTAACTCTCAACTCCTCTCAACATTTTAGCACCTTTGTTTTTCGTGTGTGTGCAAGCAGGGACGACGTAATGGTGCCGGTTACAGCGCAAGCTAAAAATAAATAATACATGCTGGCCGAAACCACGCCATAATATGATTGTTGCAAGCGATGAACACACCAACAACAAAAACAAAGAGGTTTCATTTTCAACTTCTACAACGTAAGAGAAAGCTTTCAGAGTAAGTAAATTGGCCTACGATTCATTTACCTCACCCCAGCGCATGACCTGCTCCTTTTGAAATTGTGTGTAATCTAATAATGGAGCATTAATTCGATACTCCTCGAAACCAGCCAGCATGATCTGTTGTTGTTTGGGTAGCACATTCCAGAACAATCACTGGTCAGTCTTCCTCTGGAATGGATCTAATTATTATCCTCTATATTTGCATCCTATTATTTGGGTATATATCAATTAAAAAATTCAAGCCTCGCCAATATCAAAAATCAATTTATTGCCACCAGGATTTCATCCTTCAATGTTTCTTTAAATTGTACCTTCCACTTTGGATAACAATAAACCATTTTAATTGAGTGGACGGTTGTTGCGTCTTTGCACCAATATTTTTTTTTTTAATATTTGAAGTTATTAAAAAAATTATATTTTAATTATTAAAATTTTAAATTAAAAAATTAATATTATATCAATAAATAACGTAACATTACAGTGTTCCTTCATTTCTAATTGAAAATTAATATTAAATATACTAACAATAAATTAATAACAAGGATTGCACGATGTTTTGTTTCACTCTAATCTTCATTAATCACTTTTAGAAGAGCAGTTAAGGCTCAACTAGCTACTTTTATTAAGAATGCTCAAGTACAAAGACTTAAAGAATGTTTGTCCGATACTGATGATTTACAATTATTTATATTATCTCATGGAGTTCCAACAAAATTAAATTAATTGTTGAGGAAATCAATAGGATGAGAAAATAAGTGAGGGTCGTCGAGATCCACATAATGCAATTTATCTTAAGAGAGTGTTAGATATGAAATAATTCGGTTGAGCACTCAATAACTTTATCATCTTAGTTAGTGGAAATTTAAAAATTTTATATAATAGTAATATCAATTCGCTAAAGTGACAAAATAATTGTCTCGAAAAGTGATTTGATTTTTAACTTAAAAAATGAAAAAATTTTATCACCATGGAAATGTAATTTTTAATATAATATTTTGATTAATTTACTTTATGAAAAAAATAATTAATATTATTCTAAGAAATTGACAACTAAAAATTTTTAAAAATTATTTTTTAATTATTTATTCTAAAAAAGTTTTATATTATAAATTTATATTGACTAAAAAAATAATAAAGTTATTAAATAATTTTTAAAAAATTATTTTTATCAAAATTGATTTATACTTTGTAGTTTTTTTATGAAATAACATTTAACTATTTTATAAATGGTTGATTTAATAAGTATTAAATATTTATTTTTTAAAAATTATTTTGGATATTTTGTACTATATGATTTATTATTTCATATAATATCAAATATGGTGATTTATAACATTATATTAAATATGATAATTTAAAATTATTGATGATTAAATTGCCTTAGTAATCAAATTATCTTGATGATTTTATCACCATAATAATTAAATCACATTGATAAATTTAAAAATGATACCGAACACTACTTAAAAAAAAAATTCATATTATTATTTTATGTCTATGACAATCCTTACACAAAAGAAAATTTTAAATGGTGATTAATTAATATATTCGAAGCAGCATAAAAAAATATTTTTTTTGTCAAATTGAATGCCTAATAAGTAAATCTCACATCAATTAAATTTTGAGATATTTTGATTATATAAACATAAAGAAATAATTTCATCAAATGCTAATTGATTTTAGATTAAATATCTGTTTTAACATTTAACATAGTTTTAGAAAATGGTACCATCACACTTTCATCAATTATACGTTTTTTATATTTTAAATATATAAATATAATAAAAAGTCAATCAACCTATTCGGTTTTACAGTAGATGCTATTACTAAAATTTAACATGCCCATCGTTCCTTTTTGCATTGTTTCAAAGCCACACATTGTACCTCTTGGAATATTCTTTATTTTTTATGTTTCATATTTATTTTTAATAATCTAAAAATAAAAATTTATCCATCTTATAAGTAAACTTTTAACAAATAATATTAAAGATGTTAAAAACAAAACATTTTTTTTTTAATCTTTACATCTAATAAATGTAAGCATTCAATTTGAAATGAAAGTACAGCAATATGATTTTGAAACACATAAAAGTTCAGTTAAACCTGCAAAATTAATCTCACCTATGTATACTTAGCGACTTTCAAGTTTATTCCTTTTTAAGTTTTAATCATTAGAAATAGATATGAGATGGAATTGATATTTTTAGTAAATAAATTAAGGTGTAAAGAACAGTAAAATTGAAGAGCCAATTATTTGATGCCACTTGTAAAAAGCATGTTGTTACTTGAACAAAATATATTTCCGCACTCCAAAGTCCAAATTTCCGCTTGCACGCCAACCAATTCAATTAGTTACGTTCACAATGATTACAAACTGATGCTTAGCTGCTAAAGCAAACAAAATGCTTATATCAAATTCTGTGACTACATCTCATTTTAATTTTCTTTCAAGGTTTCCATGCAATTCTATTTCTTCAAATGCAAATAATTGCATACAATAAGCATATAAATATTTATTTATATATATATATATATTCATATATTTGGTAGATAAATGACTATATAAGATGCCGGTGGATTTAAAATTATTTTTATATCTGTTTATAATATATATAAAAAATTATTGACAAATTTATTAATTTCATTAAAGTAAAAGATGTTCAAGGAAAATTTTGAGGGCATTTAGAATAAATTTTTTTAAATTTTTTAATTTTTGAGGT